TCCTGGGCCAATCCTTCTCTTTCAGGAAGAAGGCAAGGCCACTGGAGTTTGGTGTAGTGGTTAAGACACCAGGCTAGAAACTGGGAGACTGTGAGTTCTAGTCCCACCTGAGGGCCAAGGCCAGCTGGGTGACTTTGGGCCAGTTACCTCAGAAGAAGACAAGGGTGAACCACTTCTGAAAATGGTGCCAAGAAAACTGTAGGGGATGGCCCAGACTGTCACCAGGGGTCCAGACAGGCTCAAAAGGACCTATATATTTGTATATTCAACAACTAAAAGCATATAGTATTTGGATTTAAAGCTGAAGGATCCTCCTCTGAAGGGGTAGTCAGAAGTTCAATACAGATCATGCCTTCATGCGATACTCAAAGCACATACATTCCACAGAAGTATAGAACTTAACATCCCAGGTCTTCAAATTCGGAAAAGCAGTTCTTATGCGTCTTGCATGCGTTGATACCAAATGCAACTCAGGAACTTATGAAATCTCTTTAAGACAAAAAAGAATCGAAACCACATTTTTGCACAGCCTAAGCTGAAAGATTCTGCACACAGGGCCAACAAATTTGTATGCAGCTCAAAAAGGATGAGATAGCTTCTACCCTATGGCTCTACCATTATAAATGGCCAGAGGTGATATGGTGTGGTGGGCCAGATTTGGCTGGCAGGATAGGTATTCTCCACCCCTGGTTCTTTTGATGCAAAACATCTCCTCAAATCAAATCTTTATGGCGGTCATAGACCAGGATAAGTCTACCCCATAGCAGTTTTGATACAAATTACTGCCTCCGCAATCTTGGAGTATATGTCTGGGGGAAAAAGTGAACACACTGCTACGAATGGGGGCTCCCTGGTTCACTACCCATCAGCTGGCCAGACCAAATGTGACTCCCTCCTCATACTCAAGTACTCAGAGATTCCATGGAAGAGCATTCTTGACCAGGAAGTTTGTGCTAACAGTTGTGATGATAGCACGGGGTATATAAAATAATCCAAAGGGAAATAAATACTTAATGTTGGATTATTTCTTTTGATGCACAATTTAATTTAATTTAAAAATCAGAAGAAATCTGCTAGCACCTTTTCAGACTAACAAATTTTATTAAAAGGCATAAACCAAAGGAAAGCTTATGCCTTTTTAATAAAAATGCATTTGTCTGAAAAGATGCTATATGTGTCCTTCTGATTTTTGGCTACCCTTAGACTAACAAGGCTCTCCTCCTATGATTTAATTTAAAAAAGAACTCTAAGAATGGAGGGGATGGAAAGGCACGCATAAATGAAATGATAATAATGATCTGATTTCAAATATATGAGCTCCCATGCTGTTAAAGACCAAAGCAGTGGGAGGAAGTGTTTGTTTAATTGGATTGTCCCTGCATTTTGCAAACATTTAGTGGCCTTTGATTTCAGAGAGTTTGAGAAACAGTAGTTTAGCCTCTTGGGTTAGGGGAAATTAAATAGATGGAATTCCCAGTGGGCTCAGAACCAACATTAATTTGGGTACAGAGCAAAGCAACCTATACAATATCTGCATTCACTGTTGAGAATGTACCAGTGGTTAATCGCATTCCTGTTGTGGTCTGTAATACCTCCATCCTGACCGCACAGACTTTCTCCTACTCTCCCTCGGCCTCTTCTTCCCAGTTTTCCTTCTGCTCGCCATGATTGGAAGATAGATGTGGTTCTGTGTTAGGTGGACATTCCACTTGGTTCAAAGGAATTCCCAGCAGCAGAGCAGTGTTGGTCAAACTTTGTTTCCCCTGGAGAACCTTGAGGTTTTTTGAAAGCTTGCTAAGGATTCCTTAAGGACAATTCCTTCTTTTTCTCCTATGATGGATCTCCCCTAACTGTTGGGTTCTGCTGTTGTGTGTATGCTGGTTTGCACTCATGTAAAGCCGTGTTGTTCAACCTTGGCACTTTAAGACATATGGACTTCAACTTCCCAAAATCTTCCCCCCAACCCCGTCGGTTGGGGGTCTTATGGGGGGGGGAGAGTTCAGTTTTTTTTGGTGGTGTGCATAGAAAAAACTGATGAGATA